GAGAGAGAGAGAGAGAGAGAGAGAGAGAGAGAGAGAGAGAGAGAGAGAGAACATGGTACGTTTTAAAAGGCTAACATGTTTAGGTTAACAATTTTATGAAAAAGCAATCAGAGAGCCAGAGCCAAATATATGTTTTCCAAGATCATATATGCTTATTTTATAATCATTTAAAAACCTGAAAACAGGGTCAGAGAGATGGCTCAGTGGCATAAGTGCCTGCCTGGCAAGCAGAAGGTCCTGAGTTCAATCCCCAGTACCAAAAACCAAAACCAAACAACCCAAACAATCCTGAAAATAGTGTAAGAACTAGAAAGCCAATGTCATGATCCAAAGGCTGAGGTTATTCTGTCTGGGAGTACTGACATTTACAGATTTCCTAAAGTAACTGTATGGCAGGAAGTTAAAGCTAAGAGATCGTCATACTCCAAAGTCACAAAGTATTAGGAGGTAGCCAGGATTCAAAGCTTTATGCGTCTGCCTTCGCCATGCACGTATTTGCCCTCTTTGGTATGTATCCACTGAGTATGTAAAATGTGCCAGCCCTACTTCAGGGGCCACAGGCTGGTATACTACAGTGAATCTATAACGACCAATATTCTCTGCTTTAATGTTGCATATATTCCAGTGTGAGAACAGATAAGACTGACCTTAAAGACAGGCAGTAAATAAATGAGCAACAGCTACAAAAGAAATAAATAAAGTTTTAGTGAAGAAAAGGGAAACTAGGCAGTAGGGTAGTCAGGAGAAAGACTGCTTAACAGGTCATTTCAAATAAGACCTCAAACCCTGAGAAAAATCAGATAGCAGGCGAGGTGGCAAAGTGTTGGGATATAGGCAGTCGAGCCTTTCTGAAGGCTCAGGCAATCAATTTCTTTCTTTCCTTTTTTAAATGAATTTAGTACAGGGACTATAGGGTTTCACTACGTAGACAGGACTCGTAGTGAGTCTCCTGTTTTCAGCCTCTCAAGCGCTGGGATTACAGGCGCATGCCAGCACGCCCAGTCTCAATTGCCATTTCAGTGTGCCCTGGGGGTGTGGCTGGCAGGGTCCCCTGCCAATGAGCTCTGCCTAAGCAGGTGCTTTAGTCTGCTGAGCTATTTGGCCGGCCCAGGGAATCAATTTCTGCTAGGGGACATTTAATCTGGTTATGTACTAAATATTGAATATACAGGCACAAAATAAGGGCTCAATATATATTATTTATATCACTGTTAATAACACTTCTAAGATGTTAGAAAAAACCTCTTAGGATAGATCCTAAATTTTTAGCCCAATATACTAATACACTAAAGCAAATAAAGCAAAGTGTGCTTCTGAAGCTAGAAGGCTGGCTCTGCACCCTGAATCTACCATTTATTAATGGTCTGATCTTGTACAAGATACCTTATGCCTCTGCATCTCAAATTTTCTTTCTGTAAAAAGATATTATGGTAATAACAATTTTAGGAGGGGTCTTTTTCGTTGTTATTTTTGAAATGGGATCTTGCTGTGTTGCCAGGCTGGCCTCGAACTGGCAGTGATCTTCCTGCCTCAGCCTCCTGAGTGCTGGCATTACAGTCTTGTGCCATCACATCTGGATAGGAGGGGTCTTTTGATGGTTACATGCATATATATAAAATACGCAGACCAACACCTTGCGTAGAGTAAACCTCCCAAGTAGCTAAAATTATCTGCTGGTTATTACAACCAGTATGAAGGCACAGGTGCCCTTGATACTGCAGGCCTATCTGAGGGCTCATGCTTCTCCAGCGGGTCTTCTGCAAAGCTCCTCACTGACTGTGGATATCCTTCAAATGATGTCAGAAGTCAACCCCTATGTTTTTCTTTATTGTCTCTGCTTCTCATCTTTTATAGCTCTTTAATTTTCTCCTAAGTCTTTTTGCATTTGCCTATCTCCATGCAAGAAAGAAAAACTGGGCTGGTTGTTTACAAGTATGCTTCTCATTTTCCAAGAAGCCAGCCAGCGATGTGCTGTGGATCAGGGATATTCTCTGGTGCTTTTCAGTTGGTATTTACTCATTTCGCATGTCTCCTAGGCTTCCTGCAAAGCACACTTCTCTGCCTTACATGGCATCAGAAACTTCTTCCTACTTCTGGATTTTAGAAAATTTGAGATATACACAAGGTAATTTTTGTGTATAGAAAGCAGAAAATGACTAGGTCCTGAAGTCTGTAAGTAATTTTGGAAGAATTTTTAATAATATAACGCCAGAGCAAAGGTAGTTAATATATCTGATAACTACTTTAAGAGCTAGGTTTACCAGGTAAGTCATTCCAGACCTCAAGTCACTCCACTAGATTTCAACATGCGATGTGTCCTAAGACCTCACAACTTAAGTAACTATGAAGGTACTGCTTTCAATGAGATGGCAGGGCTCACGGGTTCAGGTAGCACGCCCATCTTACCCAAATCTTAATGTAAAGATCAAGGAGAAGGTAAGATTTAAAGGAGGGCAATTTCAAAGCCATGGCTTGACATTTCTCACTTACACTGTCTGATCCTGGAACACTGCTTGGCCCTTGGTACTTCAGTTTTCTATTTATGAAATAAGGCAAAAGAAATGCCAGTAATACTTTGAAATTGACATGAGAATGAGGATACAATGACTGTAAAGACCTGAAAGACCATCACTATACCAGGAATGCCTTATAATAACAATGGGCTGGGGGCTGGGAGATAGCTCGGCAGTCTAAGTGCCTGCCTGGCAAGCGCAAGGATCCAGGTTCAATTCCTGGTACCGCATGCTGTGCCGGCCCCTGAACCCTGGTGTGCTGTGCCAGCCATTGAAATCAAGCACAGTGGCACATGCCTGTAATCCTAGCACTGGGGAGGCTGAGACAGGAGGATCACTGAGTCCGAATTGCATAGTGAGACCTTGTATCCATTAAAGAAATAAATAAAAGATTTTTTAAAAAGTTAAAAAAAAAAAAATGGGTTGGCCAGGTGTGCTGGTGTGTGTCTGTACATCTAGCACTCAGGGAGACTGAGGCAGGAAGACTGAAAGTATGAGCCTCGCCTCAGCCAAAAATAAAAATACACAAAAGGGTTGTGGATGTAGTTTAGGGCCTGAGTTTAAACTACAGTAGTCCACGCACGCGCACATACACACAAAAGATGTGGGTTTTGCTTGTTATTATCAGCTACTTTGGTTTTCCTTAGACTGACATACCCACTCTTTTCTACCTCTCCATCTTGTGAACTACAAATTTAGACAGGTAGACCTGGCAGAAATGTACCAGACTTAAGCAAACTGAACCCTGTGAATCTTGGATTATGTAAGCCAAGCCTTAGATCAGAACCAAATTACTCTGTTTTTCAGTCACAGGCCTTTCTGCTTATGAAGTGTGATAGAAAAATATTTATTATAGGGCTGGCAAGATAGATCAGCAGATTAAGTGCCTGCTTTGACAGGCTCAGGGACAAGGGTTTGATTCCTGGTCCTGCATGCCATGCCGGCCCTGCCCCCTGGGGTACACTGAGCTGGTGACCAAGTCCGGGCATGGTGGCGCATGCCTGTAATCCCAGCACAGGGGAGGCTGAAAACAGGAGGATCACTATGAGTCTGAGCTATGTAATGAGACCCTGTACCAAATACACAAATGAAAAAAAAAATTATTATATACACAAAATAAAAAGTATTATTGTACAAGACACATTGCAGTCAACCTCCAACAAAACACTTCCCTTGTTTCAAACACATCATTCCTGTCTCTCTCCTTCTTCCCTTTTTTCATTTTGTTGAGATAGGGGCCCCACTACATAGTTGAGGCTGGCCTTGAACTCACTATGTAGCCCAGGGTGGCCTTGAGTGGCAAAGCGCTAGCATGCTGGGAATACAGTTGCGCACCACCATGACCAGCTTCCGGCCACTTTCTAAAGCATTCCTGGAAGTGCTCATACGTGAGTGTCTTTAGTTGCACTGCTGCAGCTGTATCTTGATGTTCTGAGTCCACTAAAAATGTTTAACTTCAGTGGTTATTTTGACTTTGGGGAAGAGCTAGGTGGAAGTTGCATGGTGCCAGATTTAGTGAGTAAGGACACACCTTATTCTTTTTATAAGCCTGCCTTCTGGTCAAATGTCAGCAGTAGCCATTTGATCACATCTTGCCATTTTTTTTTTTATTTTTTTTTTGTGGTACCAGGGATCAAACTCAGGATTTTGTGCTTGCCAGGCAGACGCTTATGTCGCTGAACTATACCCCTGGCCTGATCACATCTTGTAAAGATATGGCAAAGGACTTCAAGAATTGCTTCAGAAAGTGGCAAAAATGATGAAATAAATGTTTTAACCAAGGTATAGTGGGGTTATTCTGAGAAGAAGAGCATGTCTTTTACTGTAAACCCTCCCCTTGGCCCACCTCCCATTTGTTCTTTTGAGACAGCATCTCTGTATAGTTGAGGCTGGTCCTGAACTCACTATATAGCCCAAGCTGGCCTCAAATTCAGGGAGGTCATCTTGCCTCAACCTTCCAAATGCTGGGACTCCAGACCTGTGCTACCACATCTAGCCCTTGTAAAAAATTTTAAAACAAAATTAAACATTTACCATATTTTGAGTACCTTCTGTAGTTGCTTTTTTTTTTGTGGTACCAGGGATAGAACTCAAGATCTTATGCTTGACAGGCAGGTGTTTATGCCACTGAGCTATATCCCTGGCCCTTGTAGTTGCTTTCTTTATAACTGCTTTTTAATATTTTATTTACCTTAAAATCATTAATGTGTAGAAATTCATCAATGATAGGTCTAGACTTCCTCTCCATTTCTTCTTCTGATAATGTACACTTCTCAGGGGCTGACATTGTTGAAATTTCCGCTTTCCCTATGAATAAGTCCAAAAAGGGAGAAAATTAAAGAAACAAAAGGGCTGGGAAGATAGCTTGGCAGTCTAACTGCCTGCCTGGCAAGCACAAGGACCTGGGTTTGATCCCTGGTACCGCATGCCATGCTGCGTAGCAATACCAAATAAATAAATGCTTGAAAAGAAAGTAATAAAAATTACCATTAATATGGTGAGATCATGGTTGACAATATGTGTTGTTACATTTTTTCAGTAGCTTTTAATAGATGTAATTTGACAAAGGAAGACAATTAAAAACAATACAGAAGTCTTATATTTTAGAATAGAATATACCAACTAATTTTATAATCTACAAAAGTACTGAGACATATAATGAACCTTTATAATTAGAGCTTTTCTCTTCCTTTCTGTAGTTAGACTCATGACTTCACTAGTGCACAGGTTGGGCCCTGTGTACAACAGCACTAGCCAGAATGCCTGTGACACTTCCTTACATCTGCCATGGCTCTTCCTACTGCTAATATGCTCAGTATACTCCTACTGTTGAGAATATTTGTTCCCTCTGCTCCACATCAGTCTATTGTTGCAAACTTGATTCAACCCTACAGGTGCTTCAAAGGAGAAAAGTCTTCTCTGTTATTCCCTGCCCTGATTCTACAGAGTTACTGTTATGGTTTATGTCTAGTTGTCTCCCCAAAGCCTCATGCAGTCATTGGGGTGGGCTTCTAGCCTTTATGATTAATTCATGATCCAATGCTGGGATAATGGATGTGAGTGCTACAAACCTTGGGGTGGACAGCCTGAATGCAGTACAAGGGAGAGAGGCCTGCTCTCTGCTGCCTGCTGCTCCTCCCTTTTCGCTCCTGCTGTCTTGCTGTTTTCTGCAGCCATGAACTACTGCCCTCTGCTATGTACCACTCTGTTTTGAAGCCATCTGATTGGACTGAAACCACCAGGAACTGTGAACTAAATGAAATTTTCCTTCCTTAATTTTGTGTGGGGTATTTTGTCCCAGCAACAAGAGAAAAGTAACTGAGATAGTTGCTTTGCTAAGTATTCTCATAGAACTAAATTCCTTTCTTTATAAGATTTTTTTGAGTTTATGTTTTATGGTATTACTAGGAACAACAACCCAGTGTCTAACAGTAATAAATGAATTACCTAGACATTAAACATACATGGATCAGTTGTGCTAAATTATTCACTACACATAATTTTGTATTTTACTCTATTATGTTCTAAAAGTACCTAGTACAGATAAGTCTTATGTCTCTAAATTTCCATGACTGAAAGTCTATAATCAATTGAAAGACAAAAACATTGGAATTTGCCTCTAAAATCCATTTAGAGACTAGGAGAGAACAATTTAAATAGTCAAACAAATTTGAAAGTTATATAGGTAGCCAAACTTACTTTGAGTTAGATTTACAAGATGGTAAAAATCATCTTTAAATAACTGTTATCATCATGACACTTAACATCTTTTGAAAACTCTGTATTCATCACATAATGCTCTAAGTAGTTACATTTATATTAAGTCCTCATTTCATCTTCAATATAACCTTACAGGGTTAACATAGGTATACTTGTCCCCATGTAACAGCTGAGAAAACTGAAACACAGGTCAGATACGTGAAATAATTTTTACAGACTTACTAGAGCATATTTTTAGGCATATACATGTTAAATATTTACAAAACCTACAGGTTACCATAGAAGATAAAGACAACAAAAAAATCTGTTATCCTTTTTTTGTCTTTCAGTTCAATAATGTAATTTTTACACATGAGGGACTTTCCATAGTATATGTAGTCTTAACAGTAATGCACAGAGGGACGTTAAAGAAAATTCTAAGAAACAAAGGAAGACAATTAATTACTTAATTTATAGCAAGAAGATCTTATTCCAGTAAGTCTTAGTAAAGAAAGGAGAAAAATTTCAAACTGATGAACAAAGACATACCTAAGGAATGAGAATGACAAAACAACAAAGCTGCCTTGCACCTTTGAAGGTGCTGGTTCGTGTGATGCTATGATGTTTTGATTTTTAACTGCAGTCATGTTTCTATTCCTTCCAAGCCTAAAGTCTACATTTTTACCCACTCTGCCCCTAGAAGGTCTCTCACCTGCCTCCCTTGCCTTGCTTCGGTCAGCCTCTGTGTTATTCCTTTCCACCTCTGTACCTCCCGTCAGCTGTTTCACGGTCTCCAGCATCTCTCTCCGCTGCTCTTCCTGAGACTGATTGTCTAATAGGTCTTTACTGCTACCGCCCCTCATGAAAGTGTTTGGACGAGCTGTTGCAGACGGAAGCGGCTTGTCGTTCTTCTCTCTGCTCATGCTTCCACGACTGTAAAGACAGATACACTTAATCTAACCCCTTTATATTCAAATTCTAAAGTAACATAGTTGAAAGTAAGTAATTTTTCACAAGACTTTAGAGGTATGAGGGGCCAATTATATTTCAAAGTATAATACATATAAACAAGTGAAAATCAGAACACTTAAAGTGAGTATTTATTAAGATATTTTAACTTTTTTTCCTGTAACACTAAAAGTGACATTACTTAAAATTAAAAATTTTTAAAAAGAAAGTCTGAACAGGAGGATCACTATGAGTCCAAGCTGCTTAGTGAGACCCTGTACCAAATACATAAATGAAAAAAGAAAAAAAAGAAAGAAAAAAAAAAAAGAAATTTTGGTGCTGAGGTTAAACCTAGGGCCTTGAGAATGCTATGCATATACTCTACCACTGAGTTAGTTTAAATGTCAGCAATAATGATTCATTTTAGTTTTAAAAACTCTTTTGACGAAAAAATGACAGCAGGAAAAGTATGAGCTTAAATAAAAGAAAACATACATTGATTCATTTTAAGAAAGACAGCGTATTTCCATATTTAGCTTTAAATAGGCAATTCTATTCAGTGCTATAAACTGTTCTTTGGCTCAAGGTAGTTCAGAAGCAGTAAATTAAAGAGAGAGAACACTCAGAAATGGGCAATTTCTAACTATTATGAAAGAACACAGACAAGGACTTACAAAGTAAGGCCGTTAAAGGAAATTTATGGCAGTGCAAAGTGCCACAGTACTGCAATTCAATAAATGATGCTCAGGGACAATCCACATCCTCCTAAGAAGTTGGTTTGTACTAAGTACACAGTACTTTGTTTCAGAAGCCCCGAGAGTAAGTAACCTAGTTTGCTAAGTTTTCCTAATCAATTATAATAATATGAAAGTTTGAGAGTTTACAGAAACTTTATTTCTGAAAGTGCTTATATAAAATAAATCTTTTGTCACTGGTCCTCCAGTTTCTAGATAAACTAGCCAGTACAACACTTGACTACACCATTCCTACAAAAGTGAAAGTAGTAAGATATCAGAATGTACACAGACTAGAGAAAACTGAACAGTGACTTCAAATTCCAGTGAAGGACAGTGTGACCGAGAAATATATGGGGGGGGGGGCTACCATATTCTTTAATTCACTTGTGAGTACTAGGTTATCCTACAGCATCCCAGAGGAACAGCTTGGTGAGCCCTAGAAACACCTCTAGGGCTCTTTAAATGGACCTAGCTTTCTTAGGACACAGACTACAGCATTAGGTATTTTGCCAGATAATCTGCCCTTCCCATTTTGTCCTAAACCGAACACCTAATTTTATGTTATTATCTTATTATACTATGTGAAGAAGAAAGGAGAAAATCAACATTAGGGATAAAAGGAGCGCATCCATAGGACTGTGATCATAACCCACATATGAGACAGGGAACGATACTGCAAATAGGACAGCCTTGAGTGAACACAGAAAGAGGGATTCTCACCTGCTTAAGGTTCTTCGGGAATCAAACTCTAAAGGTGTAGCTGATGTGGATCCAGAGGGCACTGGAGGTTGCAGAGCAGAGAATCTATTTAAACTGGAAGTAGTTGACCGTAAAGCATCTATAGGTATTGAGGATTTAGGAAAAAATAAAAATGACATGACTAAAATATAGATAATCATTTATCTGCATCCATAAGATGGGGCCAAGACCAGGAATTTCTTTCTTTTATATTTTAAGAGGGAGGAATGGAAGGGGAATTACCTATGTTTCCCAGGCTGGCCCTAAACTCCTGGGCCCAAGCATTCCTCCTGCCTCAGCCTCGGAGCACAGCAGTTGGGACTACAATGCTAGCCACCATGCCTAGATTAAGAGCAGGAATTGCTAACAAATTCAGATAACACCAATCTCTTGGTCGAGCTACCATCCTCTGAGAAGACTGAGGGGAATCTGTATGTAAAAGATTGGTCATTATAACCACTTGTCTTAAAATACTGAAATCATCCTAAGCAGGACACAGAACTGGTTGTGGTAAACAGGAGAGAGACAGACAAAACCCAAAACACTGTATTTTAATGAAGTTTACCAATATGAATGTTGTAATCTAATTTATACAAAATTATGGTTCCTTAGAAGAAGATATAGAAAGGAGGATTACATTGCAGTTTCTTTTTTGTAACTGGGCTTCTTTATTAAGATATATTCATGATTATGTAAACATTTTTACTTTAGGTTTTAATTTTTGATTTTTTAAAAAATGTATTTAGTACAGGGTCCACAAGGTTTCACTACACAGATGGGACTTGTAATGATCCTCCTGTTTTCAGCCTCCCAAATGGTGGGATTACAGGCAGGCTCCACCATGCCCAGTCTCAATAGCTGTCTCAGCGCACCCTCGGGGCAGGGCCAGCATGGTAGGCTGGGGATTGAACCCTGGTCCCTGAGTCTGCCTAAGCAGGCTGTTCAATCTGCTGAGCTATCTGGCTGGTCCTATTAAAGTATATTATCTATATACTTCGTTTTCATTTAATAATGTACCAGGTACTGAACCTGAGTCCTTGCACTTGCCAGGCAGGCACTTAGACCGCTGAGCTATCTCCCCAGCTTCTGATTTTTGATAATTATGAAAGTGTTTTTATTCTTTATTCTTTTATAACTCCCTTATACATTTCTGTATATTGCTTCCCTTTAATTCTGGGGTTCTAATAATTTCTCACTGTACTGAATTTGTGGACAACAGCAGAACAACAAGAAACCCGAAAGATTAAAAGTCCTAATTAAATAGCTGGACAGCTGGAATAACGTCTGATGTTCTTCAGCACAGCGGGATAACTACAGTTGACAACAGTTTCAAGAATATCTCAGATCAGGTACTAGAGAACATTCTGAATATTCTAAACAGAAAGATATGATAAATATATATCTGAGCTGATAAATACATCAATAATCCTGATCTAATCATTACATATTATATACAAAACTGTCATGAAATGATACACTGTGTTCCATAAATATGTACAATGACTATGAAAAATAAAAATGTTAATTTAAAATTAACCTAACTGAATTAAAATTGAAAAAAACCCAAGAATCCTTAGGAGGAAACTTGAGTTACAGCATGTGAAATTGCACATGATTAGATCTTTCCCTCTTATGCAATAATGACTGTAGGAATTGGCTGCAAAGTGAACACTAAGCCACCAATAGGTAAGAGAAGGGCCATTCAATACTTACCAGTCTCACTTGCCTTCGCGCCACCACTGCTGCCTTTTCCCCAGCTCCCCAGCTGTGCTTTAGGTACCAGCTGAATTTTCTCATCAATTGTGGGCTGTAAAAGAAGCGGCCACAATACATTTATGGGAAATATTACAAAAGAATAGCTTCTATTTTGCCTCTTTGGTGCAGAACTAATATTAACAGCAAAATTTTAAAACACCAGTTTGAGAAATGTAAGCTGGAACTGTTCTCACTAAAGTGGGTTTCCTGTGGCATCTAGAACACTTCCTTGGACTCATTTCCACAAAACAGTTTGAAGGCACTGATCTGAAGAATGCACTCAGATCCTTCTATTTCAGACGATTTTTTAATCTGCCAAATATAAGCAGTTTCTAATGATTACTCATCCAACAATGCTCCGTAATTTAAAAAAGAACAAAAGAATAAAAATTTCATGGGGGGCTAGAGATGGAGGGAGGAGATGTGAATATTCAATGAAGGGGACAGGAAGAAAGAGAATGGAGTACAGGACAGGGAGTGCAGGGAGGTAAGCACCTGGTGACCATCATCTCTAACCCTCCAAGCATGTTAGGACAAGTAGACAGAGGTGCCGTGTCTCATGCACATTTTTATACAACATATGTAACTTAAAAGCTAGAATGTGGTTCTTTGTAACAAAGGTATTTCTATCCTCTGACAACCCATAATATGCTGTCCTGCTGTGTAACATCCTTTCACAGGACTCTCCCAACAAGGAATATGTTTAAATTTTAAACTTTTTCTAGAATACTTTATATAACCTACAGTGTAACTATAGAGTAGTACTAGTAAAACATTTAAAAACAGTATCATTAAATATTAATACAATTTTCAAAGATGTTGGGGTTGATATTGCAGAAATTCTTTAAAAAAACAAAGTTTTTGTTGAACACATATTTTTTAAAAATGTATTTAGTACAGAGTCTATAGGGTCTCACTATGTAGATCAGACTCGTAGTGACTCTCCTGTTTTCAGCCTCCCAAGCACTGGGATTATAAGAATGCCCCACCACACCTAGTCTCAATTGCTGCCTCTGTGTGCCCCAGTGGCGGGGCCGGCATGGCATGATGGGGATCGAATGCCAGCCACTGTGCTCTGTGAAGACATCTTTTGCTTGAGATGAATGACACTCAGATTCATCTAGCAATGGAAACTGGTCTGAGACAAAAACAATTAGAAGACTGGCCCAGGATCTTAGAGAACAGTGGCCTGGTTAATTGTATCACCAAGAGAGACCCAGAGGGAAAATACTTTATCCCGAGGTAAAGCATTGACAAAATTATGAAGACACAAATAACTTAACATTTAATTCTAATTCTGTTTTTAAACTTTTGGTCAGTTATCCTTTTGCATCTGATTTTTTAATATTCGCTTTAGATTTTCTTTAGCATTTTGCTGGCAGGTTCCAATTTTCAGAACTATGGAAAGTACCACAAGCAAGGTTCAAATGAGACTTGCAAATGATCTGAAAAAGCCAATGGACTGTGGAAGTTTCCATTTTTACCAAACTGAATTGTACTTTCTCTATATTCTCGTTTGCTCTATTTACAGAGATTAACTCCTACTGCCGAGAACATCTGCTAGGAGATTTTTTTTTCCCTGTACTGCAAATGAATTCTCAAAAGAAAGGAAAGCAGAGCATGGTAAATCTTTATTACAGAACGATTCCTAATGGTCTTCTATGGTTTATTTTTGGCTCTGGATATGGGAAACCATCATACTTACATTTAAAGAAGTAATTGTTTATCTTCCAGAGAAAAAAATACAGAGCGCAAAAGCCTGCTAATAGCTAAGGCTTCTCAGGTATCTTTATCATCATTTCTCTTTTATTAAGCATTTCATAACTTGTTAAGAATTAACCTAAGGGCCAGCCAGATAGCTCAGCAGACTAAAGCATCTGCGATGGCAGGTGCAGGGGCTGGGGTTTGATCCGTGGCATGCCGAACGTCGGTCCCACCCCCAATGTGCACTGAAACAGCAACTGGGACTGGGCGTGGTGGTGCGCTCCTCTAATTCCAGCACTTGGTAGGCTGAGAACAGGAGGATCACTACAAGTCTGATCTGTGTAGTGAGGCCCTGTACTAAATACATAATAATAACAACAACAATAATAATAAAGAATTAACCTAGGCATCCCTCCTTTAAACTCCTCAGCTTGCCTAGCAAGTCTGAGGCCCTGGGTTTGACCTCCATTACTGGGAACACTAAACTAAACTAAACTAAAACTAAACACCCTCAGTTAGAATACAGAAACTGTTAGACTACTAAAGGATTCCTGCCTAGACAGGACCACAGAATACATTGGTCAATATTGACTTATAGGAAAGTATCTGTATCTAAAACCTACCCCATAAAATATGAAATATGGTTATTCTGTGAGATCAAGAAGTACTTTTTAGACTCATTTACTACTGTAAGTTGTGTGTTTTTCTGGTAGTAATGGGGACTGAAGATAGGGCTCTGTGTATGCTAGGGAAGTACTCTACCTTCATTACGTTCCCAGCTCATACACTGCACTTTATAAGTCACACTTACCTTAGTTATTTTCAGGAATTTTGATGGATCTAGTACTCGACTGTTTTTGGGTCCTTGTACAGTGTTCCACCCACCTTCATCCACTCTCTGGACACCTACAAAGGAGAACAGAGTGAGCCCATCTCTTATTTGTTTTATGTCAGTTTGATAGTGAAAGAATAAGCAATATTTTTAATTCAGTCAATCCAATTAAAACCAACAGAAAAGACCAAAGAAGCTGCTAAAACATCCTTGACAGCATGAAGATAAGCAGCCCTCCGCTTATGCTGGATCTTCATGAAGCATTATTGACCTAGAATAAACCAAATGACACAAAGAAACCTTCAGTGGACACAGCAGGGCAAAACCTAAAGGAACAATGACTGAAATACACTCAGAAAAATGAAATAGAAATTCTTACTAATATACGTGTTTGTGTGTGTGCCTATGTGTGTGGTACTGGGCACTGAACCCAGGGAAGTGCTGAACTCCCAACCCTTTTCATTCTGATGAAGTCTTATTGTGTAAAAGCCTTCAAATTGCATGTCCTGAACTTGTGATCCTCCTGCCTCAGCTTCCTGAATAGATGGGAATATAAGCATAAATCAGTGTGCCAAGCTAGTAATCACGTATTTTAAAGTTCCTTCACTTAACAGTGTCAGTGATTCCAGTATGCTTTCATGTTTTCTGAAAACCTGCTACTCCAACCTGTTAGCTACAAAGGTGAAAAATACTGACTTTTCCTTCTGACACGTCACACTCAGTGAATTTATTTTTTTTTTAAATTTTAAATATTTATTTATTTTTATTTATTACATTTATTTATTGTGTGTGTGTGTGTGTGGCCAGCTCAGCCCACCAGGGCAGGGCTGGCTGGCATGTGGTGCTGGAGGATTGAACCGCGGTCCCTGTGCTTTGCCAAGCTTGTTTCAAGTAGGTGCTTTAGACCACTGAGCCATCTCTCCAGCCCCTCAGTGAATTTATTAATAAATCAAAGATTTGTGAGTAAATCTTTTCAGTTCAAACATTAAAACATATTCAGAACCTAGCCCCTCTCAATCATTATAAACATGAGCAGTTTTAAGCCACCATATCTTTTTGCTGGATCAATGAAGAAACATGCTCTGTGGCCTCCCTGCTTCTACCCTTGTCTCATCTTGAGGCCAGTGTTACTCCAGCCAGATCCTGTCATCCTTTTGTTTGAAACACATTTGGCATCTTGGAGAAAGAGACAAGATTCCTTATTAGTTCAGGGCCTACCAAATTCTCAAGACTCAGACTCTGGCTGTACCCCAGCCCCCTGCTCCCCATTCTCCTTCTCAGACCCAGAGTTCCAGCCACTTTATTCTGTTTCTTTTGTTCCTTAAAAATGCTGCCAAAGGGCCTTTGCCAAAATTAAAACCCTCTTTTCCCAGATAAACACATGATTTACCTCTCCACCTGCTTTAGGTCTTTGTTCAAATAATACCAACTTTAATTAGTTTCCTAATCTTTCTATTTAAAACTGCAGTCTTAGGACCTGGGAGATAGCTCAGCAGTCTAAGTGCCTGCCTGCCAAGTGCAAAAACCTGGGTTCAATCCCCAGTACCGCATGCCTTGCCGACTTGTGCCACAACCACTGAAATTGGGCGTGGGGGTACACGCCTGCAACCCCAGCAGTGGGGGGCTGAAACAGGAGGATCACTGTGAGCGCAAGTGGCGTAGGGAGACCCTATGCCAAATAAATGAACGATTTTTTAAAATTTAAAAACATAAAACTGTAGTCTCTAGTCACGAAAACTTGCATTCCACACATACTCTCTTTTATTTTTCTATAGAATAAATTCATTTTACTTCAATATTTATCCCTGCTACAGTCAAAGATGTAAACTGTATAAGGAACTTTTTCTTATTAAGTGCTGCGAACTCAATATTTGTTGAATAAATGCATGAATGAAAGTTCTCCAAACTGTCAACCCAAAGCTGTCTTTATCCTTGTATACTTTGCATACTTTACTTTCTCTGTGCTGATACGGCTCAACGTGAACATATTCGCTTCTCTCTTTCTATACTTATCCTTGCTCCTTCTCTCCACTTGCTCTGTATCTTTCACTATTCCAAAACTTGTTTTTGTCCTTTAGTCATCTGTGGATATCCTCCATGGTTTAGGCTTTCATATGTCTCTCAATTTAGTTCAATAACAAATAAATGATAATAATTACAATGGAAATAATAATAAATAATAAAAAATAAAGAAATTACCTGAAAAGCATTGTAAGTCCTGGGGTGAAGAAGGTTAAGTGTTGTACCTGCAGTAACTTTTCTCAGTGGTGTATTCATCTCTCTTAACAACTACACTATGAGCTCAACTGTGTCTGTGATAAATAAAGCCAATGGTAACTGAATATTTACTAAGACTCAAATGCTATTTGAATACTTTTCATAGAATACTTTAATCTCACACAAATCCCACATACTATCATTAATCTCATTTTGCAGATAAAATAACTTGCAAGGTAATACATGAAGTAGGAGAGCAGACATTCAAAGTCAAATACTCTAGAATTTGTTTTCAGCCACTGTACTATATGGCCTAATAACAACTCTGATCACTTAACTGAATAGTAATGTGTGCTATGTTCATCTTAAAATACACAGCCTCACTGGAGATTTAGCTCAGTGGTGCAGCACCTGCCTGGCAAGTTCAGGATCCCAAGTTCAATTCCCAGGACACTTCCTCCCCCTAAATAAACAGCCTCGAAAACAGAACAACTATGATTTTCCTCTGAAAAGGTTTCCTTGTCTAATGTCCCTGAACTTATCAGTGGACTATTTTTCAGATATAAATACTTGCTTTTTTGACTTTCATTTTTTTTTTTTTGCCTTTGTATGTTTTTTCTGTTCTTATTGCTATGAGGTCTCACTTTCCTAGACACAGGACTTTATGAACAGCCATGCTGCTGAATTTAGTGTGTCCCTTTAGGGAATACATTTGTACTGGTGATATTTTCTATTTGTTTGACAGAAATGTTCCCTGGGGTACTTTTACCTTCTCTGATAGACTGTAAGCTTTTAGAGGGAAGAACTGTGTTTTCTATCATTCACCAATCCTCTATCTAGAGAAGTTGCTCCTTGACTATGAAGTTCTTTTTTTTTTTAAATGTATTTGATTGTTACAGGGTCTCACTACACAGCTTGGATTCACAGTGATCCTCCTGTTTTCAGCCTCCCCAGTGCTGGGATTATAGGCATGTGCCACCACGCCCAGACTCTGGCCGGCTGAGCAAGCCCTGGGGGCGGGGCTGGCAAACGTGGTGCAGGGGATCGAACCACTGTCCCTGCACCTTGCCTAAGCTTGCCTAAGCACGTGTTTTAGATGGCTGAGCTATCTTGCTGGCCCCAATTATGAAGTTTTAAAGAAGTCAAAGAAATCACATTTATTTCCTGCTTTTATTCAATGACTATTCTCCAGGTAAAACTGCTTTACTTTGCTGCTATATTTTTTGGGTTTTTCTTTGGGTTTTTTTGGCGGAACTGGGGATTGAACTCAGGGCCTTGCGCTTGCCAGGGAAGCGCTTATTCCACTGAGCCTTCTCCCTGGCCCCTTAAAGTTTTCTGTCTTTTTTTTTTTTTTTTTGTGGAACCAGGGATTGAACTCAGGCCCTTGTTCTTGCCAGGCAAGCACTTATTCTACTGAGCCATCTCCCAGGCTCTTGGGTTTTTCTTTGTGATCTTATCTCATCCCTGCATAGAGAATTCTACATACCTATCCCTCAAGTTCCCAGCTCCTCCCAAGCCCAGTGGATTTCCACCTTACCTGGTCTTCTCTTCTCTTTGGTCATGAGCTGTTGGACCTTTCTTTGCTCTTCTTGTTCTTCTATTTTGGCCTCTTTATGAATCTGTTCAATAGTTTTAGGCCCTTGATCTGCTCTTCGAGATACCCAATTACACTGTAAAAGTAGAAAATAAAGTCACCAGTCAGGTATCTGCAAATATATTATTTAAAAAAAAATCTCAATGTGGAAAATATAAAAGAATCTGGGATTCGAAACATATACGAAATCTGTGATCACGGCAGTTTCTCATCTATTTCATAGATAATGCTATATAGATTATGGATCAGAGATAAAAAATTAAAGTCTCCTAACTCAACCCTAACCAGCTCAGCTGCACACTTCAGCAGCTTATGTACAAAATGATGGGAAGACTGGCTTCAATATAATTATCATTATTTTCTACATTTGAAAAGCAGAGAGATAAGAGAAATCAAGAAGCATGAGAATACTGGGCTGGGGCTGAAGTTCAGTGGAACAGCATGTGTCCAGCATGTGCAAGGCTCTGTCTGGATTTAATTCTTCAATTCCCAGCCCTACGGGGTGGGGGGAGAGAAGATTCCTTGGCATTGTCTTAATTCAATGTATTATTAGTCAGGTCATATCATGTTTCATAGTACTTCTCCACTGATGATGAGTAGGATTTATTTTCCTCTCATATTATGATTCTGGTATCCTTTAATGTGCTACACAATGCTGCCCTTTGGGTATCCCCTCTACAAAAATATAAGTGGTCTCCTCAAGAATATAAACATTTCTCTTTACCGCTCCCAGATATAATACCAACATTTGATACAAGCAAAAATGATTAAAGGCATATAGATGACAGATTTGAATTAGTATGCAAATTCTGATCAAGCAGCAAAGGCTTTGGTGATGAAGGTCCTAAGATCACACCTGGGCTTAGCAAAGTAACTATTATGATGGCTCCCTACTTTTCACTTTCAGCTGCAATCCCTGTAACAGTTCAACTAAGAAAAAAGGTAGCTGTGATAAAACTGTATACATCTCAGAGAAGGTAAAATAAAAGCAGGAGGAGAAGGCCTAAATAGGAAAATCCATAGGAAAGAAAACATCTATGAATTGGCACTTTAGAGAGTTATCCCACTAAGTCTTCCACAACAACCCTATAAGGCAGTTAGCATAACCATTTTAGAGATTTCAAATGTAAGGGTCAGGGAAGTTGAACAGAGAATTTACAGAGTATCAAATCCTAATCACTAGACTTCTAGGGAGACAAAATGAATTTAGAGTGGCCAATTTCAAAATGACAGAGTAGTTTGGTAATTAAAACAAGAAGAAACAAGTAACAGACCAAATGGCCTTCTGTTCTTTCATATAACCTCTCATGAAAGAGAATTCAAGTTCTGAGCCCTCAACCAAAAGCATTCAATTTTACAAATGTAACACTAGCACATCCTTACTCAACCTAATTACTTAACAGAGATTATGCTGGTGGGTTTTTTTTATTTTCTCCTACTTACCAGTCTTAGGTCTATCACATCTTGGAGCATGAATCGAATCCTAGATGAGGTTTTTCTTTCCTTCACAATTTTTTCCATCTGATTAAAGTACTGGTCCATACGTGGCTGCAAGAGACAAAATCTCTACTATTTTGTCTGAGAAAGCCAAATGTGACTTTACCATGACAATATTAATCGTAATCAGTAATGGTAGAATGTTTGAGTGGGTTGGGAGAAGTGCTGGGGATCGAACCCAGGCCCTTGTACATGTCAGACAAGAGCTCTACCACTAAGTCACATACCTGGCTACACTTTTCAGGCTCCCTGGCAGCTGGTCTTGGTAATGTAATTAATTTCAGGCCAGAATATAAATAGGAACATTGTATAGTATTACAGCTCTGGAACCTTCCTTAAGAGAGATTTGACTGTCCTTTGCCCTTCTTCTACTTTCTTTGCTGGGAATAACAGGGACCAGGGTTATGCCTTAGGAAAGGTTAAGCTATAAAAATTTACCTGTGAATTTTGTTTATGTAAGTGAAAAATAAACCACAGTCTTGTATAATCACTGATATTTGGGGTTTTATGTCATGAACAAACATCATCTTAGTAGACTCAGATATTTTAGAACATTTCTTGACCTTCTCTGGACCATTTTAAATTTCCATATCTCTTATTTGAATGACAGCATATTCTATTTGGATTATAGTATTTTTGATGATTTTTTCTACTATGGTTAGATAATCATGTCACTAGTTAGACCATATACTTAGTAAAGCCACTATATCGTCTTTACTTCTGCAATCCCCTTAGGCCTGACCCATGGTAGCATTTCTTCTCATACCTTATCATATAAACAGATGACCTATGAAATGGCTCTGGAAGAAAATTAAAAGGACAAGGAACAAATAGCTTGAACAATTCACAAATTAGATTGTATATAATCTGGAACCCTCCTCACTTCTGATTTCATGTAAATATGGAAAAAAGTACTGACAACTAAACCCTAACAATGAGATAGGAAAAAAGGAAAATTAAATGGTATAGACTGCTGGGCAAGACAGATGATTTTTGTGGCCCTGCTGAAGGTTTCCAGTTTCTGTATTTTTACCTTTGCTTTCTCAAAGTCCAGGTCTTTGCCAATGGTAGTGAGAAGGCGACACAGGCACTCTAGGGATTCTTCGTCATGGTTCTTTAACAGCTTTACCACACAGTCATGCATGATGGCTTCAGTCAGCATTTTGAGTTTAAAGAGTTCTCCAATAAACTTAATGTTACCAATAGATCTCCTCCGGGCTTTGTCCTTGGCTTCTTCCAGTTCATCATGAAGTCTTGTCTTCTCCTCCGGCTGTTGTGCAAGAAATAATAATACCATCTGGATGAGGAGAGCTGTACTTCACAACAGACACCAAGACCAGGAGCCTATTCTGAGGGTCAGATTCCCTTTAAGACTCTGACATGACTCTTCAGCACCCAGTTTAAATTTCTAGAACCTGGCAACTTCTCTGAAATGCAGATTTAGACTTAGTACTTGGTGTGGAGGGCTGAATTCTTCTAACGGTCAGTGTGAACAGCAATGAAATGTCTTTTTTTTTTAAAAAATTATTTATTTATTTATTTATTTATTTAATGTATTTAGTACAGAGTCTACAAGGTCTCATTCCGTAGATGGGACTCAGAGTGATTCTCCTGTTTTCAGCTGCCCAAGTGCTGGGGTTACAGGTACACACCACCACGCCCAGTCTCAGTCACCCTCTCAGCACACCCTGGGGGCAGGGCTGGCACAGCAAGCTGGGGATCGAGCCCCAGTTGCTGGGTTCTGCCTACACAGGCACTTCAGTCTGCTGAGCTATTTGGCCAGCCCAGGAATGAAATGTCTTAGCTGTCAATTTTGCACAGAAAAAAATCCTATCAGTCCCTCTTAAAGTAGAAAAAGAGGTGCTACAGCTGGTTTTATGAAAATTCTACTTGATAATGCTTAAAGCTCACAAACACTACCTACAAAAATACTTACAGCACTGGCAGCTTCAAGTTCTTTCTGCTTTTTCTCAAAGACATCATCATCTGCTTTATCTTTTTCAAACTCCTTCTGGCAACGGTTTAGTAACAGCTTCCGGAAATTTACTGTATTACCAGGCTTATCTGCCATGGGCACTTTCAGCTGCATCCAGATAGGAAAATGCAAAAGGAGCAAGATCACTTAAAGATATTCCAAATATGTGCTTTCTGTTATGCAAAACACTGCTGACTGAACCACAGGTAAGCACTTTACAAGAGTTCTAAAACTGAGCTTCAGGCATTCCATGATTTAAACACTAAAATGCCTTAAAAGTTACAGAGAAATGATACACATTATCCTCACACAAATGTACAGCATCTCTTACGACTCTGCCTGTAGGTGACTCAGAAATCCATGTAATATCATTACAGCTATGACCCTCTACCTACATAGACCTTATCTTAAAAACCAAACCAAACCAAACCAAACCAAACCAAACCAAACCAAACCAAACCAAAAACTGCCATCCTAAGAATTTTAGTTTATATGAAAAAACAGAAAATTTGCATGGGAGAATTCCATGGCCAGAGGCAGGGGAAAAACTAATGTAAAAGGTAAGATTCTTATTCTAGAAAAAAGGAGAACATTTTAGGATTTTTGAGATCTTTTTCTCAGAAGAACATCCTAATGTGATAATGTCAGTACTTACCCTGATTATCACTATCTAGTAGTATATTAGAATTATTTATTATGTGCCCAAAGAATACACTAGTGTACCAAATGTTTAGTCTAACAGTCACTTTAGAAACATACATTTGACATCCAGAACAACCCAAAGTGGAGGGCAAAGCCGCCACTTAGGGACAAGATGATCAAAAGATGTCCATCCATATTCAAAAAAATTGTTGTCTAGTAAGCTTTTATCTTTGGTGTTACTTTGTAACTAAACACAGAGACATTCTTGTGAGTAGGTTAAGAATATTAAGAAAGTAAGCCACAGCAATGATGCTAATTTATGTTACAGATGAAATCTCTTTGAGCATTATTTTGAAAGACTGGTAAAATGACTTTTCAGGAATTCCAAAGTGGATCCCAAAATTCTGGAATAAACACATGATCTTTGCGCTAGACTTTAAGGGAGAAAATACTGAAAACAGAATGTACTACATTTATACTCACAAAATAGTTCACGTTATCACAGCAGACTGGACCTGCTTGAGGCTGAATAGCCTCAGGAAATTCTTGAGAATTGAGAACAATGATGCTATAGTAAACCTGTACTAGAAATGATGGCATGTCCTATGATGTATGAAAATTATTTAATAAGTCCAGCTCTAATCATCCAAGGTATCAAGTGTTATATTAAACATTTCTCTTCATCGGGAAACATTAACTTAGGAGGAGGGGAATATTATCAAGTAAATTCTTAGAAAACTACAGAAAAGCTAATATAGCCCTACTCCAATATTAAGCCACAAAAACACGAACAACTGCAAGTCATTTCATAATCAGGTCTACTCTACAATCAGCCAAGATAGGAATCCTACAAGAAAGCAAAGGTTTTCCAAAGCAAATTCTTATCTTCAATATGCAGGACCTTAAATACATGACAGTGCACTAAGAAATACAAAAGAGAACTAAGAAGTGTATATATGAATAGGCTGGTATACAGGAGCACTAACATGACCTTAGTTTCTAGAACAATCTAAGTTTTAAAAATTTGTACTTAACATCTAACCTGTTGCTGTCCAGAAACAAGTCAAAACACTCAGAGTCCTACTCAGCTTCTTGGCATATTCTTCAGCAGCAATTACAGTAAATACATATAACTGATAATAAGATAAAAAATGGCCTGGGCCACAGTCTATCATTCACAATTAGTTGTTTCTTGAACAATGGGTTTATTGTATAGAAAATGGGAGAAATGTGAATAATCATATGAAAATCCAAACCACTGACTATGAAGGACCATAGTTAAAATAGGCTCCCTAACTCCCCACTCAAAATATTATACAGATACAATAAATATAATTTTCGATGGTTGGAGAGACATGATCAGACTGAAATGGTAAAATGAGACAGGATTTCTCAATACAAAAGTGTAAAAGCTATGTTATAAATTCACAGAGAAGGAGGATCTCTCAGCCAGGCCTTTCATTCCTTTTTAGTAGGGAAGAGTATATGGAAAGAACTAGGAAAAGGATCAAAAGGCTTGCTACCTTGTATATACACAAAGGGAATTCTTCTAACTCAAGTTTCAGTTTTAACATCTAAAACAAGAGAACCACAGTACCTGTGTCCAAGAAGGAGAGCAGCTTTTGAGACTCCAATGAAATGTTTTGTGGAAACACTTTTAAATAAATCATAATTAAGAAAATTGTAATTGGGGTATAAAGATCACTGAAATTGAAAGAATACTTGAATTTGAGTCACAAAATCAGGATTGGAATACTACAACTAATCAACTATGTGAGTACACTGCCCCTTGGGGGGTCTTCGTGTATAAGACATTCTAATGACTATAGACTGAGTTAACGTTATAGAAGTTGGCTGCTGAAATGAGTGCTTTTTTATTTTGCGGAACTGGGGATCGAACTCAGGCCCTTGCGCTTGCCAGGGAAGTGCTTATTCCACTGAGCCATCTCCCTCGCCCCTGAAATGAGTGCTCTGGAGATAGTCTAGTCATAACCCTAATGATGCTGAAAGATTCTTACCACATTACTTAGCATCACCAGACTTGTTTTATTCATAATGGGATGATAATGTCTACCTCTTGGGACTGCTGGAAGATTAAATGAGATAGCCTAAGTGAAGCAAATAATAGTGGCTGACATATAGTAATAACTGTGATTAAAAGCTAGAGTAACCTATTTTACAATAACACAGCTACCAAAGGAAGAATATAAACAAAATTGCTCCCTATGCAATGAGGGAAAGAATTATAAAAAGCAAGAGAAATGAACATCTATCCCCAAATGATAGTAAAGGAAGCTTTGCATATACAGGGCATAAAGAACAGGTGATTGTGCATATGCTTTTTAGGTATCTTCACATGGAAATATTAAAACCAAATAATCAGCATAACAGCCACAGGGTTGAATAAGCTATTCCTAAGTGACTGCACAGCTGTGCAGCTTCCTTAAGACTTGTTTTGGAGCATAATGGTAATGCTGTCTGGGGATTGTTGACAGGGCTTTGGAAAACATGAAGGCGCTAGTGAGAACATATTCTTTAAGAACAGTGATTTATGGTACATTTTTGTCCTTAAAGGATAATAAATTCAACAGGATCCTTACATTATTAAGTAAACATGTATTGTCTGGTGGACAATGGCTTCTCAGGAGAGCCGCTAACACTGGTTAGTTGGAATAGAACATGAAGAATGAATGTCTAGCCTGCCTGAGCTGCTATAACAAAATATCACAGATTGAGAACTCTAAAACCACAGTGCTGTCAGCTTTGGTTTTTGGTGAGGACATTCTTCCTGACTTGAAGATAGCCAGCTTTTTACAGTGTCCTTACACAGAAGGGAGAAGCACTGGGTACCTCTACCTCCTCTTACAGAGGGTTAGATGTAGAATACCAATGACCTCATCTAAATCCAATCACCTCCCAAAGCCCCAATTCCTAATACCATCACATTGTGGGTTAGAGCTTCACTTCGTAACTCTGGAGAGGACACAAACATTTAGTCCACAACAGACAAGGTAGACACTTGCAAATGTGATATAGATAATAGTGAGAGTGAAAATGATGTGTGCCAATAAGAAAAGAATGTATTTAAAACAGTCTTGATACCATACACTTACAATCCCAGGACTCGGAGGCTGCCACGGTATGAGACCTGACTGGACTACACAGTGCATTCAAAGGTAGCCTGAACTATCTATAGTGAGATCCTGTCTCAAAAACAACAACAAAAAAGTATTTAGACAACTATAATTTCATAGTAGGTTTATGATTAGTAATTGATTAATTCTGGGGAATAAACCCAAAGAAGAGACTAAACTATATCCCTAATCCTTTTTTGAGACAGTCTGGCTCTGAACTTGAGATCCATATACCTCAGCTTCCTGAACAGCATGTTTCTGGTGTGTGCCAATATGGCTGGATTCGTGTGTGTGTTTTATTATATGGGTTGTTTGAGAGGTAAATTCCTTTCTCAGAGAACATGGGCATCAGCATGAATACTTAGTAAGTCTGCTTGGTAAACTGTATTTACTAAAAAGTATCTAGCTTTTAATTTTACACTGTAGTAAAGTAATGGCGCAGCATTAGTGCAATGAGGCCTGTCCACGTGCAGATTGCTCAGTAATTTTGGATATGAATGTCATCAGTAGCAGACAGTAATTTCTGTCAAGCCACTGGACTTGTACTGCTAATATTTTTGCTAGGGTAAGGACAATTTTTATCTCTCAAATAATTGAATTTCCAGAATTATCAAAGGCTGTCATCTGTTTGGTATCATGACAGTCAAATAGGAAAAGGAAAAAAATGAAGAACAAGCCTTGGCCTTGGTGAGCACCATCATGATTTTCAATGCTGTCTCCAAACATAAAGATGCTACTAGTAACAAATGACCCAGTAGCCATTTTGCTTCAAAATCATGCGTCAGTCTGAGTTAACTATTTAGGACAACTAGTATAATGGAAGCAAATGGTACTTCTGTGCTAACTTTAAAGCACATTTTTATAGGACAGTTCTTTCATTTTGTTTTTTTGAGACAGGGTCTAACTGGGTAGTTCAGACTTGGCTTCAAACTTACAATAATCCCCCTGCTTCAGCCCCCAACTGCTGGGATTACAAGGGTGTACCACCATACCTAGCCCTATAGGATAGTTCTTAAATGTAAACAATGTAAAACAATTGTTCAAACATAACTTTGGAGTGTGCGTGATACAGTATCCTCTATGAGTAACTTTGCCCTGACCTTAGAAAATCACCTGCTAAAACTGTACATGACAAACACTCTGCATACAATGCACAACTGCCAAAATGCATCTCTACTAGATACACCCAAAGAGGTACTCAGTGGTGAGGGGTACTTACAGATTCAAACGGGGCTATCAAAGGGGGGTATAAGTTATGAAGGTTATTGGCAACCAATATTTTCCTCAATACATTTTTGATCTTTTATTAGACAAGCTGCACATTCCTATTTG